ACCATGAGCTATCACTTCATGTCTGTTGGAATCACTATCATCAAAAAGACAAGAAATAAAAAATACTGGTGAGGAGATTGTGAAAAGGGAACCCTTGTGCACTTTTGGTGGGATTGTAAATTGGAACAGCCATTATGGAAAACAATATGGAGAGTCCTCAAAACAATAAAAATAGGACTACCATATGAACCAGCAATTCCACTTCTGGGCATATATATGAAGGAAATGAAATCACTATGTCAAGAGATATCTGCACCTCCATGTTCAATGCCACATTATTCACAATGTGATATAATATGATAGATATACATACACTATAAATACATATACAATAGAGTATTATTCAACCATAAAATATAAGGAAATCCTGACATTTGTGACAACATGGATGGACCATGAGGGCATAATGCTAAGTGAAATAAGACAGAAAAAAAAAATACTGTATTGTCTCACTTCTATGTGGAATCTAAAAAATTAAACTCATAGAAAAAGTAGAGATAGGCCAGTGGGGAAGGCAGAAGGTGGTGAGAAATTGGCAATCAAAGGGTAAAAACTTCCAGTTACAAGATGAATAAGTTCTAGGGGCGTAATGTACCGCATGACGACAACAGTTAACAATACTGTAGTATGTACACGAAAGTTACTAAGAAAGTAAATCTTGAAATCTTTTTACCACACACACACACACACACAAACACAAACAAAATAGTAACTAGGTGAAGTGGTGGATGTGTTAGTTAAGCTTATTGTGGTAATCACTTCTCAATATTATACGTATATCGAATCATCACATTGTATACCTTAAACGTACACAATACTATATGTCAATTGTGTCTCCATAAAGCTTGGAGTTAAAAAAATAAAATACATTAAAAAAAAAATAAAATGAGGGTGGCTCAGCCAGTTAAGCATCTGCCTTTAGCTCAGGTCATGATCCCAGGGTCCTGGGATGGAGTCTGCATCAGGTTCCCGGCTCAGCGGGGAATCTGCGTCTCCCTCTAAACCTCCCCCCTGCTTGTGCTCTCTCTCTCTCTCCCTGTCTCTCTCAAATAAATAAATAAATAAATAAATAAATAAAGTGAATCCAAAATTTAAAATCCTATCACAAAGAAAAATCTAAGCTTTACTGGTGAAATGTAAGGCTTATTACTAATATGACGTAAAACTATTCATAGACTAGAGAACGAATTAACACTCTTCAACTCCTTTTATGAGAATGATCTACTAGTATATTATAAGATAGCAATATTGTAGGCAATTTTACTCATGAACGTACATGTTTAAGGGACTAAAAAGTTAGCAAACTGAATCCAGCACTATATACAGAACACTACCCATTATAACCAACATAGTCTTATTCTAAGAAAGTAGGGTTGGTTTAGCATTAGAAAAATAAATGTACTTTACCCATTAAGAGATAAAGGGGAAAAATCTATGATAACTTCAAAAGATATACAAATCAAGTAATAATATTCAATAGCCATTCATTATTTTAAAAAAATCTTCACAATCTAGGAAGAAGGAAATTTCCTTATTCCATAATAGGTTATCTAAACACTTGCCTATTACAAACATCTTTCTGAATGATAAAATGGAAGTTTTCTTTTTGGAACCAGAAAAACAGACACACCTGCCATCACCATTTTATTCAACACTTTATTAGAGGTCCTAACCAGTGCAGAAAAGCAAGGAAAAGGAAGAAAATGTATAAGAATGAATACAAAAAGAAGAAAAAACTTTTTATTTATAGATGACAAAAGTATATATAGGAAATTGCAAAGAATAAATGCATAAATCATTATAATTAATAAATTTATTTCTCAAGATCACTGCACAGAGGATCAATATACAAAAATCCATCATGTTTTCATATCCTGGCAATAACCAATTGGAAAATAAAATTTAATACTTCTTACAATAAAATAAGAATATCAAATACTTAGAAAAAAATCAAATATATGTAAGGCAAAATTTAAGAAACCTAAGTAAATAAATGGACAAATCATATTCATGAATTAGAAAATTCAGTATGGTAAAGATGTCAATTTCCCCAAATTGATCTATCTGTAGTCCAATGTAATTTCTTTTTTTTTCAAGTTTTTATTTAAATTCCAATTAATGTACAGTGTAACATTAGTTTCAGGTGTGCAATATAGCGATTCAGCACTTCCATACAACACCCAGTGCTCATCACAAGTGCACTCCTTAATCCCCACCACCTATTTACAAATCCTAGCAAACTTTTTTGTGGAACTTGACAATATGACCCTGAAATGTATATAAAAATTCAAAACACCAAAGGTAAACAAGATAATTTTGAAGAGAAACAAAATGGGAAAACTTGTTCTGCAGATGTGAAGACATATAATAAAAAGGTACAATAATTAAGATAGTGTGGCACAAGAATAGACAAACAGGAAAGAGAACCCACAAACACATGTATTCTTGATTTGTGACCAAGGTAGAACTTCAGAACAGTAGAGGAAATAATCTTTTCGATAAATAGTGGTAAGATAGGCAAAACTGCCTACAGATGTGTAGGTGAGTAGTAAAAGTATAAAGAAAAGCTAGTAAGTGATTACCATAGAAATCGGAATAATGACTGTGTTTAATGGAGAAGAAAGGTTTGTGTTTGTGAGTGGGGGACCATGGGTCCTTCTAAGGTGCTATTAATATTCTATATTTTTACCAGATATTCCTAGAGTATTCACTTTATAAAAATTTTATTAAGCTGAACATGTAGGTTTAAGCAAAGTCCTAAAACACGGATGGAATGGTAGCAGACCTAGAAGGACAAATCTTAAACTGGCAGTAGAGAAGCGCTCTCTCCCGCTCTTGCACCCTGTCTCTCTCTGTCTCTGTCTCTCTCAAAGAGATCTTCTCAGAGAGACAGCTCTTCTAGATCTTCTAGAAAGATCCTATACAAAGAACCAAGAACAAAAAGGACTTCAGATTTTAGTAGCACAAGAAGCTAGAAGACAATAGATTAATGTCTTCGGTAATAAGTGAATGTTGTTTCCAACCTAGAATTCTTTATTCAGTCGTCTTTAGTCCATTTGGGCTGCTATAACAGAATACCAAAGACTGAGTAGCTTATAAACAACAGAAATCTATTTCTTAGTGATGGAGCTCAGGAAGTCCAAGATCCAGATGCAGGCGTAGACAGTGTCTGATGAAAGCCTGCTTCCTGGTTCATAACCTGGTCTTGTCACTGTGCTTCACATGATGGAAGGAGCAAAGGAACTCTCTGGTGCCCCTTTTATAAGGGAGCTAATCCCATCCATGAGGGCTTCACCACATGCCCCATCTCTAAATACCATCACACTGGGGGTTGGTTTTCAACATATGAATTTTAGGAGGACACGGACATTAAATCTATACACTGGCCAAACTATCAATCAAGTATGAGTATAGATGGAGGCCACCTTTAACCATATAAGATCTCAAATACTGTGAACTTTCAGCAATAAACTGGAGCATATGCTCTGCTAAAACAAGAGATTAGGTTAAGAAAGAAGGCAACATAGAATCCAGAAAACTCAGGACCCAACACCAGAGAGGTAAAAGCTATCCCCAACCTGACTGTGAAGGAGGATCCCCAGATGACTACTGTGAGCAAGAAAAGAAACAAAACAGACAGACTGGAGGGGGTTAGCAGGAACAGGTCCTGGGAAAGACAGGTTATTTGAAATGTTTAACCATAAGAAGAGGAAATTTACATATCTGGGGTAACATTTGGGGATAATTTACTGTTTTGTATGTAAAACCTAAGGGGAAAAAATATGAGACAATTGCAAAAAGCATCATGGGGGTAGCACTTAAAGTATACATTCTGAAACCAGACTCTGGGTTCAAATATGGGCTCTGCTGTATATACCTTAGCTTCAGATCCTAATAATAGTATACACCCCATAACATTGTATTAAGGAATATATGGATAACCTATGGAAATGTCTAAGAGCAGTGTCTATCACAACTTAAGAGCTCAATACATGTTAGTAATGATAGTATACTCCATGGCTCAGCTATATGTAACATGTATACAGTCACAGAAATGTAAACTTTAATATTCAGTAAACTGAAAATACAATAATATTGAGGTGGATAGGAGGATGATTACGTGTTTAGGGAGAGCAGGGAATGTGTGTGTAGAGGGAAAGATATGGTCGATATCTATTATTTGATAATGCCTAAAAGTGAAAACGAAAAAATAGTAATAGAAGCATACTATGTAGAGGTACAAATGAAAATACTAGAGTTAGCTTAGAAACTTAAAAGTGGTTTCCTTTGAATGGAGGAATAGCACCATTACTTTTCACAAACTATTTAACTTTTTAAACTCTGTGTATGAAAAACAGATTTTAAAAAATTAAAATCAAACTTAAACCAAAAAAGTTATCTGCATGTAATGCCAGAAAGAAAGCTATTTACAAAGCAGTGCATTTCTATGAGAATGGAGACAGCTTTGCTGTCTCTGGAGACTAACATGTAGTGAAAAACTACATACTTCCAGGGATAGCAATTAAGCTCTTTCAATGGATGTTCCTTGAGCATGTCACTTTGGAAAACATTTGACCCTAACTGTCGGCCTTCTTCTGCATTTGGCAAGACTTCCCCTGGCTCTCTATGTCACTGTAACAGGTGAATAACTAAGAAAAAAGCATTTCTTCGGCCTGTGGACACTTGTTTATAATGGCATTCAGGGTCCTGGAGCTAGGCTGACAGATGCTTCTCCAGAAGGTTAATGAGATAAAGGTTCCGGCAGCTGGCCCTTAAGCAGAGATTATACCTGAGGGGAAGATAAGTAGATTATTCCAGAAACAGACACTGCTTCATGTTCTTCATAAATTAGCACTCTTATAAAGGTAAACCAAGGTTATTCTCACTCGGCTGGCATCAGTATTTAATTATTTTTCATATTTCTGTCATTTTATTTTTTTAAATGAGATTTGGAATTGTTCTGTGATTGTTATCAGAATTACCGTTGCACAAAAGCCAGAATGTATTTGGAAACTAGAAGGGCTATTTTTGTTTTTTGGATTTTTCTCCAAGTTCAAGGAATCAAAGGTAAGTTATTTAAATATTTGTTTATTTTTAAAATTTGCTTATCTATAAAATCTATTTGCAGAAGTGAAATTCAAAATGAACAAGGTCACCACTGTGTCTCAGAGGGATAGTATATGGTAGGCCCTGAATTATATTGATTAATTGATTGAATGATTGTCAGAAATGATTTTCACTTGATTGAATATTTATTTGCTATATAATTTTAAGTGCAATTTATGTTAACAAAATAGAGATGACTGCATCCTTTTTGCTTTTATAAAACATTGAATACAAATTCATATTACTAATATCAATAACAATAGTGATCCATGAAACCATTCCATTTATCTCTTAAAATTGACAAAACCTAAAAATTGAAGCTAATATTTTTTGAAGCTAGTGTTTTAAGCTATTTATGATCAGACAAAAAGTGTATTTCTTACTTTCTCATAGTTAAATCATGAGTTGCTTTTCCTTAAAAAATAGCAAGTGGGCTTTGTCTTCAGAGTTCATGATGACAAACTCAAAAGTTGTATGATAAAAGAATGAGGCAGTGAATGTTCTTATGGCAAATCTTCAAATAAAGTTAAAATTAAAGCAAGCAACTAATTAGGCATATTTAAGAAAAATAATGTTATTTTTTTAAAACCTGTTGAAGAAAGCTTTACTTTTTTTTTCTTTTTTTTAAGAATAAACCCAGTCATTATAACATATTCAGGCTTTTTAAGACATTTGAAACCAATAATGTTTGGTTCTTCCATAAGGATGACACAGCTTCAGACAATTAACATTTTAATTGAAGTATTGGTTTGAAAATGTCCAGAGTAAGTAAAAGAGTTGTTGCATTTTTAAGTTCCAAAATAACTGATTCCGCCAGTTATCAACTTTTTAGTGGTTGCATTTAGAGGGAGAAAAAAACATCTAGAAAAGATTATATAAAAATTCCTTTTATGTTTTTCAACATATTTGTGATAGTGGGTGAAGCAAAAGTTTACTTACCTTTCCTTTCAGTGTCAATTATATATAAATGTTTACGTTTATAAAAACATTTTAATTAGAAACAAATCATGGGATTCCCGTGTATTTTGAGCTTAATCTGCTGGAGCAAACATACTGTCTATTTCATATACTTGACCAGGCAAATTAGCTTTCGGTTTGTTGTTGTTGTTGTTTAAATAATTGTGTTAACTTATTTAAATTTTTGCTGTTTTGCTGTTTTCATACATTGTATATCAACCTTTACAATTACAAATAGAATAATCACTTACAGAAAGTTAAACAACCTCACTAAAAACTATAATTTGTTATATGCCAATTTCGACAGAACAAAGTAGGATTGACTGCATAATAAAACATCCTAATATTTTACTTGTCAAGGAATTTTTATTCTGTAAGAATCTCAGATCTGCGAACTTCTGTTAATCTCCAGTTACTGAGGTCTACATTAATTAGAGTTTATGTACTTTAGCCAGACTGGTTTCCCGTTTGTGACTAATTAACCATTATGAGTGTATTTACATAAAAAACAGTTTGGGGAGTGAGAAGAAGAGTTCAATTTAATGCAACCAGCTGTTAAGTATAACAACCGAGTGTACAAATTCAAGAGTTTCCTTTTTAAAAATTATAGATTATTTAAAAGATATGAAAAAAATTACACTTCCATCCAAACACAATCTATGCTAGCACCTTCATATGTTTCCTCGGTCTTTTTTCTATGTATGCTTATTTAATTTTTACATGATTGCAGTTCTACCGCACAATTTTGTATCAGGCTTTTTGCACTTCTGTTACATTAGATGAGCGTTCTACATTGCATTTTGACAAGTATCATTTTTTGGCTGCATAATGTTCCTTTCAGTTGATATGTCATGATTTGCTTTACATAATACTCAACAAAAGAGAAATCGTTGTTCCTAATTATATTGTTATTATGAGTAACGTTGCAATAAACATCCTTATGTATAGCCTTTCTTAGTATTTAAGATTCTTAGCATAAGTTCACTAAAGTAAAATTACTGGGTCAAAGCAGCATAAACAGTTTTATAGTATTTGATTCATATTTGCCAAATTGCTTCTCAAAAGTTTTCCTAGGCCTTAAGGTGACTTTTCCCAATTCAATTCCGCAGAATGTTTACGGGCTACCCAATACTGTGCTAGACACAGGATATTAAGAGACCCAAATATATGCCAATACTTTAAAGGTTTTCTTTTAAGCTTTGCAATTCTTAATGTAGTTTTCCCATTGATACATAAAAGTGAAACGGTTTTGGTTCCAAAACATTTATTAAATAAAACCGTTTACACAACAGGACAGTTCGATAATTTCGAAGAACGATCGCTTCATGAAGACACCATATTCATAGTGGAGATGCCAGTTGCATCTGATGTGCACAGAACTGCTTTATGCTTTTACCTTTTCATTTCACATAAATAATTTCATCTAATTGCTTATGACATTCCAACGCGTGGAGAAAGAGAAGAGAAAAAAATCTACCCTTGGCAAGTCCTAAAATGGAAATAATGTTTATCAGAGTATGTGCCTTTTGCATTACAGCTGGTTATATACTAAATGAAACCTTTAACTAAGTTAAAGTCACCAAGGTATGGTAATTATTTTTGTAGCTGAAAAAATGTCAGAAAATTTGCATTTGAAAACACTCTACTTCTTGCTAAGCCTTTACTACTGGGATATGTTCTCCTTTCATAAAATTACCCAGGAAGGTATTTTCCCTCACTGTGGCTCCATTAACAAAAAACATGGATTCATTTTTAGACCTGAGATAGCTGCCCAATGACAGTCACATTAACTTTGCAGCTCCTGTATTTTGTTCATCTCTGCTATAGTCTCAGAACAGTGTAATTCAAAAGGTTCAAGGCAGACTTTCTGTTCAATTGTATCTGAGAAGATGGCCTTAGAATCGAAGCTGTGTAAATTGAAGACACTTTGTGTTCAACCGAGCAAACTCTGGCAGCACACCTGAAACCATTTGTTAGATTAAATACTTTAAAAATAAAAAGCAGTTTCTGCCTTGTGGCCCCTCTCTACCTATATTGATGATCACACTAAAGGACTATTATATGTGTGAACTAGTTAGGCGGCGCCGACATGACCTACTGCATTCTTGGCCACATTCTATCAGTCGTGAGTGGGCAGCCACCTTAAATATCCACTGTATTTGCATGTTAATCATCTCTGGAAATTCAGATCCTATATACCTTTGTTACCACAGTCATGTTCACAGCAGATCTTATGCTGTTTTAAAATAATCCATCTAAGGCAACAAAGGTTTTTTGTTTTTTTTTTTTACAATGGTCTCTAGGTTTATATTATGATAATTCAGCATGTATTTGGTAATGACCACAATAAAAGTCCTGACATCATTGCTATATTGTGAAGTATCTGACTGCAGAGTAACTGAGGGCTCCATCCACACTGCTTCTTCTTACTTCAGGTTATGAAAAACACTTACACAGTTGTGGGAGGGAATTGGTTATACCAGTCTTTGGAATACCACAAAGCAGCTTGTTGAAAGGAAGGAAAGTCTCCGACTACCACGTGAATTTTAGCCTTCCAAAGTAGACAGTTTTTAGCAACCACTGGGTCTGAGATCACTGTCTGAGAGTAAGAAACAGTGTCACTGGGATTTCAACCTCACAAATCAAAAGCACCAAGTCTGATGGAACCATTTTAATAAGGAAGAAAGGTGCTCTGGACCAAGACAATCGGCATGCCAAAGCTTATCCTACAAGGAGTTGATATGGTTGACTGGCATAGCCATGGTAATTCATATATGGAAATGCCACTGTCAAGTGTGAACTACAGCATGCATCGCTATAATTATTTACTGAGAATGTACTCTCACTGCTCTACATCTCTTCTGGCCACAGTGAATGTGGGAAGAATAAGAAGGAGCTACAGAACAGTGATAAATGCTTCTAAGCATATGGTTGTATTCAGCAGATAAATGTTCTCCCATTGACACTGAGTCATTTGAGGAAACAATGTCTTTCTACGTGCCTCTGTAAAGTCATCTTAATTCATTCCAACTTGGTTTTCTTCATTCGGCCTTTAGTCCCCTCACTCACTGCAACCAGCATCTATTTTCATAATTGCTCCCCAAGAGGAAGGATTAAAGGAAACCACCAAAAGAAATTTTGTGGAGAAAATTCAGGACCTTGAAACTAATGAAAAGTGTCCACTTCAGAAATACTTTAACTTCATATAGAAATAACATATGAAGGGCTAATTTGTCTGTCTTAAGATTCCTGCTTCATTTATGAAGAAACAAAAGTTACATTTAATTAAGCCCAACTATGAAACCCAAGGGCACTATTACCAACCCACTGTAGTCAGTTCAGACCTGATCAAAACATTTTGTAGGTAGCAATCATATTAACAATCCTTTAGCTTAAATATCTTTTTTTTTTAATAAAAGCTCAAGCACATTTTAATTAATCTTCTTAAGATTTCAGTGGCTGGTAGACAATCTGCTCATTTCTGTTCAGGAACCCAGGGCAGAGAATACTACGTAACGCTCCTAAAATCATCTGGGATGAGAAGATTAGAACCAAAACTGGGATGTGAGCTATATCCAGCCCTATCTTACACCTGCTTAGTCTATTAATCAGTCTAATATAATATGATGAGGGAAACTAATATGGCTTTTACTATTAATTCAAAAGCCAACTTTCCTCTGCTAACACCAGATGAGTGCTGGTTCTGGGCCATTTCTGTTGCATGACTATCTGCATGTCTGAACACAGGAGAGATCAGAGGCCATATCATTCAGCTCTACCTTAAAAATGAAGGCATAATTCTAGGAGTTACATTACTCATTAAGAAAAGAAGTGTGACATTTTGAACTCCTTAACGAAATAGAGTCATTTGTTCATGGTATCCTTTTAAAATGCCCACCATTAAAGTCTAAGTTTAGCAGTAAATGGCTTATTTACGATTATGTTATGTATTTAAAAAGGCAGAACTTGGCCTAATGGATGTGATTTGACACATTCAGAAAGTC